CGGCGCGGCCTCTCCCGGTGCCAGGCGGGGCTGCGCGGGGCAGGGGCCCGGCCTCGCCTCGCCTCTCCGCGGCGTGTGGAGCTCCGACCTGGGCCGGTGTGCGCGACCTCGCCGACGGCGCGGGGATGGGGGGGACGGATGGGGGCACCTGAGGGGAAACGGCACCTTCCTGACCGGGGACGGGGGCGGAGAAGCAGGGACAGCCTGACAGGGGAGCCCCCTACCCCACCCCAGGGAAGCGGGGTGCTGGCAGCGCTGGCCGGGTCGGGGCCAGGTGGCAGCTGTGGAGGTAGCCCAAAACTGAGGGTAGCCCCAAACCATCTGGGTGCAGGCGTTATGTTGAGGTAATATAGAGATTAGCCCCCCTGTTCTGCTCCTAACCGTCTCCCCTTTGCCGGGACAGGGAGGGAGCTCAGCGCTCAGTAGCTGTGTATGCAACGGTGGATGAGTGATGGATACGCGCAGGGCGTGAGGGTGGCCTGGCACCCTGAAGAAGTCGTGAAAAATGAGTAAAAAATACCCTGTTCCTGCAGCCACCCATTGATTTAAGGAAGCCTGTCTATCATGGCTATAAGCCACAGGTTTTAGTTTATTAATGGCCTGTTTGTTTGTTACATAGAGAAACCTGAAATGGGACAAGCATGAGTACTTTTTCAGTAGGTTCAGCCTAGCAGTGCAGCTTCCTTAAAGACAAAAAGAAGTGATGTGTTGATGCCAACAGTAGTAAGTTGGTACGCAGCACAACTCTTCTACCTGTCCAGTCAACACTATCCAGTCTGAAACAGAGTGACATCTTGAGTGAAGACTTCATGTTAGGAAGTGCAGCAAACTCTACCAGATGAGCTTGTGCGGTAGGCTACTTAGTAAACCATTCTGGTTTAGTGCCCTGCCTGCTTCTTTTACATTGGAGCTTTCTGTAGAGTTTTTTCTGATGAAATAACTGAACTGTAATCTTAGTTGTTCTAAATGATGTGGTGAAGGACGCTCCAAAGGAATATACTGCTCTTACCTATAAAACTGCTCGAGAATCCCGGGTGTCTTGAGAGAAGAGTGCAGGTTATTCCTTGCACTTTATTAAACATTTTTTTTATAATTATTGTATATTATACCTCTAAACCATGCTGTGATCAGTAGTTTACCCTCAACACATTTTCACCATTTTAAGTACATGAAAGATGAAATGCCTTGTCCAATATCATGCTAACAGTCTGAACCATGTCTGGAGTAGTGGCTAGGTATAGTGATTTATATAGCCATTTAAGTTCACAGTTAATGCTAATTGGTAGTAGCAGGAAAACGGAGCTAAGTGTAATTATCTAAAAACATCCGTTGTTTCTCTTACTGAATTGCAGACCACACTCTGTACTTATGTTTTAGCTTGTGGTAAGGTCTTTTGTCTGCATTTAAAGAGACTGGTTAATAGGTACAAATGAGTGGTTTTAATTAGATTTCCTCACTGTGTGACAGGCAATTACAATTGTGGTAGCATCTGCAACTTCAGAAGCAATAGCATGTTTTTGTAGTAAAGCAAAGAGAGCTGCTTTCAGAAAGGGAAAAAAAAAAAACCTCAAAACCCTTTTCCCAATCAATTCTGAGTCATTCCCTTAAATCTAAACCTGCAAATTATATATAGATGTGAGTAACTTCATAGGAGTGCAGTGCCACTTGGCTCAGTACAGTCTGCATTACACTATACATATGTAAATATGTATATAAAGACTAAGCTCATTTTATCTGATTTTCTTTTAGTAGGGAGACATATACCTACGCACAAATCTTGGGAAATCTTAACCTAAACATTCTCGAATGAAGCCACAAAAAAGCTGCTTTAGAAAAGGCTGATAGCTAATTCTGATTCATAGTCTAGTCACAAGAAATTATTCTGGTGCATCTATATAAATCCATGGAGGTGGTGTTACTGAGACTTTCATGAAACATTCGCAGCAAATAATTGACCTACTGAATGAACTCCTTACTTTCAATTAACAAAATGCTTGAGAACAAGCTCATGATAACACAGTGTAAATGTCAGTTGGTTTTAAAACACAGCCCTTAACTTTCTGATTTTTATTCTTTTTTCAATGTATGTGTTCTTGCAATGCTCAGAAAATACAAAAATATGCTTCCTTGCATGAATCCTAGGATCTTAGGAGTTCATACTTAAAAAAGAACATTTATCTATACTGTAAATCTCAGTATCATTATAAATAGTTTGCATCTATGGCATTAAGGTTCATAATTACATCTTTCACAGGTTTCCACTGGAGAAATGTGGTGTTTTGGGAAGATGTTCTTGTGCTCTTATTTAGGAAGGTGTGTGCTGGGGAAGACAATGTCAAGGAAATACATCTTGAAAATAGTCACAAAATAGTAGTACCTTCGTAGTGACAGGGAAGGTTGGTTACATGAAAGAACAAAAGAGATCCTGCCCCACAGAGCTTAAAATCTATGTTTGCAATTAAAACTGAAGCATACAAAAGTTGGTCAAGAAGAAAGTAACAGGAAAATAAGCAATTTCTGCAAGAGAAAAAGTAGCTTGTCCTTGATGTCTGCTGTAAAATGTTTGGTAAGGGCTTTCACAGGCACTGCAGGAAAACTAGGTCTTCTGCTTTTCCTTTTTTTTTGAAAGAAGATTTCATTACGTATGTTTTCAGAGAACTTCCTGCCTCTGTGAGAATACCGTGTTGGGGGCGGGGAAGATGAAGCATTGGCTGGCAACAGGTAGCATTCCACATCCCATTGACACGGTAACAGTGCAATTAGTCCTGAAAGTTAAATCATGCTGTGAAAAAGAAGGCTGGTGAGTGATACAAAGAAGCTGATGTACCCAGAGTAGTGAATCTGTAAAATTTCATGTAAGTGGGCCAGTTTTCATTAAACATTACTTACTTTCCTACTGTTTTAAATATTTGCATGTAAGTGAACAAGAAGTGGTACTTCCACAAGGAAATTCTTTCCACCAAAGGCTGTCAGTCAAAATGCAGGAGGACATGTTGATTTAAATAATCCCTGGAGAGTGGCCTGGCATAGCATGAACTTCTTCTGACAGTCTGTGATTAAGCTTTTATGGTCCCATAAGTGCTCATAGTTCTTATGCACAAAAATAATCACAAAGGCATCTCTCAGCCCTGCAGAGATTACTTCATCTGTCAGAATGGTGTAACAAACACTAGAGGTTTCCTGTCAACTTTATTTGAATGACGATTTAAGATATTCAGGTGTTTACAATACCAGTCTTCCCATATGACAATATACAATAAAGAACAAAAAGAGAAGAGCTGTGGCAGAGGACAGGAAGGGACAATGGGACAAAGTTACTAGATGCACCATTGTGTACAGTTCTTGTTCCTCTGTTTGTTTGATAAGGTCCTTCTGGGAGCACATTAACAGAAAATAGGAACAATTACTGAAACTCCTTTTAGCAAAACAGATGAAAAGGAAAATGGGTTTCAGTATTAGCTATAGAGAAGCGACTGCTTTGCCACAGTAAAGTCTTATTTTAGCCTTACCTATCTGGCTTTGCTTAGCCTAAAATATTTGAGACTTCATTCTGAAGAGAAGAATATTTCTGCAAAAGCTAATGCCAGTCAAACTGAATTACTGTTCATAAAGAATCTACTATTGCAATTTTGGCATTTGTTTGTATCTTTGTCTCACCTTTCCTCCAAAGCAGTCATTTGCCATCCCTTCAAATATTCTGTACGGCACAATAAGCCTCCCATGCATCACCTGTTTTCTGAACTAATATAATCTTTAATTAGCCAGTTCTGCTATATTAGTAATTTTAATGCCCAGTGTGATTCTTGTTAATATTAGTAGGAATTTTTCATGATGATACTGTTGATTGCCAGCTCAAGTAACATTTGTTTGGCTCTCTACTTATTAGGAAAAATATAAATACCTTTCTACAGTTTAGCTACAAGATAGCTAAAATCTCCCTTTGGCTCTTTTAGCTGAACACTTTGGCTTTAGATTTTTGACTTGCTCTTTTGTTCTAGTCTTAGAACTGCTTTGAGAGCGAGCAAGCTTCTCTGTTTGCAGAGAAGGCGACAATCAGTTTCTATCATAAAACTGATTTGGTCCAACCGTCTTTCCTCTAAGTGCTTAAGTTTTGTAAATTCTGTAATGGGGAAATGCATTTGTGTCTCTCAAAAACATAGACTCATGTTCAGCTCAGACTATTTTGGTTTTCAATTGTAACATGAAGTCTGTTAACAAAATCAGGCAGAGCTTCTAAAGAAGGATGAGTGAAAGCTCACTTTACTGTTCAGCTGTAAATATCAACTCTCAGGTACAGATCTTAGAAATGATAATTTCCTTGCTAAAGGAACTTCATGCTTTCATGACAAGGACAAACAACTGACTTCAGCAAGAAGTTACTCTGATAAATGAGTGAGTTGCATTTTCAAAGCAAATTCTACTCTAAAGTTCTTTATGGAGAAACAGTACAAACTGGCAGTGTACAGCATTTCAAAGTGTGATAACTAGTGCCACATACAATTGGGGTATTGTTGTCACTCTGATGATTGAAAAGTTTGGGGAATAGAAGCCCTTTTTTCAGGACTGAAATAAAAGCAATGAACTTCAAAGCTAAGCTATGAGTTTAAGAACAGTTGTTTTGAGCTTAATTAGATATTTACCAGGCTATGGGAAATACGGTGGACAGGAGAGGCTGGTGATAACCTTGTAAGAAACCTGCTACTATAAAACAGAAGTGAAGAACTGACAAGTCTACCTTTTTTATTGATATAACTATAAAAAAAAATTTAAAAAGCAAATTCATATTAAATGCATATGAATGTACAGTAAATACATCATTTAGTTTAATTTCCTGTCGTACTGTAACAGCAGGGCATAGAAATATCTGCTTTTAACAAGTTTCTCGGGTTTCTGGGCTTTGTATTGTGTCTCCTTGGCTGAAAGGGGAGACCTGACTTGTCTCAATATCTGAT